ATAATTGAAATCCCCCACTATTATTGAGTTCTTAATTTTGATAGCCTCTCTAATTTCCCTTAGCATTTCATCATCACTAGCACGGTCCTGGTCAGGTGGTCTATAATAGATACCTAATGTTATATTCTTATAAGAGCATGAAATTTCTATCCATAGAGATTCTATGGAACATGTGGATTCACTTAAGATTTTTACTTCATTTGATTCTACATTTTCTTTCACATATAGTGCCACTCCCCCCCCGGCACGACCTGTTCTGTCCTTCCAATATATTTTGTACCCCGGAATGATTATTTCCCATTGATTGCTTTCAGTCCACCAGGTTTCTGTGATGCCTATTATATCAATATCCTCCTTTATCACGAGGCACTCTAGTTCACCCATCTTATTATTTAGACTTCTAGCATTTGTGTACAAGCACTTTAAAAACTTGTCACTGTTTATTTATCTGCCCTTTTCTGATGTGTCCGATTCTTTTTTATGTGAATGTTTATCATCTAATCTGGCCCTTACATTATCCTCCTCCATCCTCTGCTCCTGACTATAACCTAGAGATTCTCTATTATTAGACTCTCCCCTAAGAGAAGTCTCTGTCCGATCCACATGCTCCTCTGCAGCAGTCAGCTTTCCCCCATCTCCTAGTTTAAAAACTGCTCTACAACCTTTTTAATGTTTAGTGCCAGCAGTCTGGTTCCACTATGGTTTAGGTGGAGCCCATCTCTCCTGTATAGGCTCCCCCCATCCCAAAAGTGTCCCCAGTTCCTAATGGAAGTAAACCCCTCCTCTCTACACCATCGTCTCATCCACGCATTGAGACTTTGAAGCTCTGCCTGCCTACCTGGCCCTGCGCGTGGAACTGGGAGCATTTCTGAGAATGCCACCATAGAGGTCCTGGATTTCAGTCTCTTCCCTAGCAGCCTAAATTTGGCCTCCAGGACGTCTCTCCTACCCTTCCCTATGTCATTGGTACCTACATGTACCACGACCACTGGCTCCTCCCCAGCACTACACATAAGTTTGTTTAGATGCCTCGAGAGATCCGCAACCTTCGCACCAGGCAGGCAAGTCACCATGCGGTTCTCCTGGTCATCATAAACCCAGTTATCTACGTTTCTAATGATCGAATCTCCCATTACTAACACTTGCCTTTTTCTAGCAACTGGAGTTCCCTCCCCCGGAGAGGCAACCTCAGTGCGAGAGGTAACCCCAGCTCCATCTGAAAGGAGGGTCCCAACTATGGGAAGGTTTCCCTCTGCTCCCGTTGACTGCTCTGCTTCCCTGGGCCTTTCATCCTCCTCAACAGCAAAGGGGCTGTCTGACCGGAGGTGGGACAATTCTACAGTGTCCCGGAAAGCCTCATCAACATACCTCTCTGCCTCCCTTAGCTCCTCCAGTTCCGCTACCCTGGCCTCCAAAGTCCATACATGGTCTCTGAGGGCCAGGAGCTCCTTGCACCGAATGCACACATACGCCACCCGCCCACAGGGCAGGTAATCATACATGCTGCACTCAGTGCAATAAACTGGATAGCCCCCACTCTGCAGCTGGGCTTCTGCCTGCATTGTCTCCTAGTTAATGAAAGGGTTGTTTAAGCAAAAAGTTTTGAATGTAGTTTGGTTTATAGGTTTTAAGGGGAATAAAGGGACCACCGCTCCCTTCCCACTCCCCTTCCAAACTCCCTTGCGAAACTCCGTTAGCAGCCCCTGTTCGCAAAAGCTCCCTGGTCACTTGTGCGCTGCTTTATAAAGCCCTGGCCTATGTGAATGTCCCGCCCACTGATTAAGGCTCAGCCACTTACCAGAGGCTTCTAGCTTTCAGATCTTCCTTTGAAGCTCACAGCTTCCAACTGCCAGCCACAGCACACGGTCCTTCAAACAACCAAACGAACAAACAGACTGACAAACACAAGCTCAGCACACAGCAAGTAACCCCCAAACACAAACAAACACACACTACACACAGTCACTTACCCCTTATTGGAGCATAAGCTTTCATGGGTGAATACCCACTTCGTATGACATGCATCTGATGAAGTGGGTATTCACCCACAAAAGCTTATGCTCCAATACATCTGTTAGTCTTAAAGGTGCCACAGGACTCTCCGTTGCTTTATCCTCTTTTACATTCTGCCTTCTGTAATGCCCTCCTGGAGTGACAAGCTTTATGGGTGCTCAGACTGATACTGCTAGAGCTTATGGCTCTCAAGCATTCTTTTTTAAAGGCTGCTCCCCAGAGACAATAGACTTACTTCAAGTCTTAAGATCACCCTGCTTTAGAGTTACAATGGACTTAATACAACAAGGGGTTGGACATAAGATTTGCAAAACTACGCCAGTAGCTGGAAACAGTATCCTTTGTGCCAAGTTTTCAGTTATGGTGAAAGTCAGGCGCAGCAATCACTAGGGTAGATGGTAATATCCGAGAGCATGTAAGATTCTTCTATCCACTTCTTCCACCCTATCCCTGCACCACAGGATGTTGGGGAACACATCCTTGGTAGCTATACTTAAGATTGAAATGCTTCATGGTATACAGATTTCTGATCGGGCAGGCCTAGCTTGTCGGATAAAATGCTGACAAGTATTCACTGGAGCGTAATTCAAAAAAGGGTTATGAAAAGGAGAGCAGAAACAAGTTACCCAGAAAATGTTTCTCCTACTTTTGTAAATAAAACCTATAAGAGATCCACACCTACCGTGTTTCAGTTGCTTCTCCTGTAAAAGTAGTTTCCACTACAGCTCTCTTCTCTCTCCCCCCTCCTTCCTCCTCTCGTTTCTTCTTCTTTTGCTCCTGCTCTCACTTGTCTTGTTCCTTTTTTCGCTTGCTCTGTCTCTCCCCTGTTTTACCTGTGATAGTCCTTTCTGCTCCTGCTCCTCCCTATTTTTGTTTACCCTTCACTGTGCTCTTTTCATGTGTGAGGACCACAAGCGTAGAAAAGACCTTTTTTATTCCCTCCAGAAGACAAGCAACATTTGGAAAGTGCAACAGATACAGCTCCCATACTCTCAGCTCCCACCCCATTCTGCACCAACCTTCCTTCTTCCTTTCCATAGTTGGCTCTCTTCACTGAATCCCAAAGAAACCTTGTCTCCTCCATTAATCCAGGCTGCCAGAACTCACTCTACTTCATACTGCTAGTGTACCAGTTTCCATGTTTTGCAGATTTTCGGTATGCACCTGACCTGTCAATCAAACTAGCAGCCATGCAAAAAGCCTTCTGGGCCAGCAGTAAAAGGAGAAATTTTCTGGTGCCTTGGTCAAAAGCATGTGCTGGTTTTGAAAGGCATACAAAAGGCATTATTTTGCCTTTTGTATGCCTTTTATTAACAGGTACCAGAAGTTCCCATATCTTCTACTTGTAATGTCACAAAAAACAATGCATTTTGATGTCTTTAGCGTATCAAGTATCACCAGCAAATTTCACAAAAACGGGAATGCATTCTTCCAAAAAAAAGTTAAAACTTGAGGTGTACGTCCAAGTTATCTAGAGACACTCGACACAAAACAAAAACTCTTCAGTTTTGAGTTTTGCTTTTTTGTTACGGTAGATATGACTGATTCATAAGAATGGACAGAGCCATCAGCAAACTAGAGAACTTGTCAAGTTGACATGAATTTTGCAAGTTAGTCAGGAAACATAGCATTTCCTTTGCTCTTATTTTGAGAGAAGTATTTAGTTTTACATTAATACTGCTACAGTACTCTATAAAATGTACTAATACACTCTGAAAAGTAAGTTTTGGTGATACATGAACTAGAGAACTCTGCTATCAAGATACTTGTTGAGATCTAGATAGAAGCTACCAATGTATCTGAGAATTATAAAATTAACATATTGGCAAATTGTGCTAGGTTCTAATACATCTGGATTCCAACTGAATGTTTTAGATCACCTTTGAAATGATCCCAACTAGTCTCCGAAGTTATTACCTCCATAGGGAAATGAGGAGAATTCATACCTTTGCTACTGGCTTCATTTGAGATGGTTTTCTACTAGGCTAATTTAATAGGGCAGCAGTGCACTGACTGACATTGAGAGAACTTCATCTTCAGAATGTAAGATTAAAGCTTCATTATTTAGGTGAAAGCTTAAATTGTGCAGAATGTGAACTCTAGAAAACTGCAGTTGCAACTGTCCCATTTTGCTTCTAGTGGAACCTGTTATTAGCTAAGTAAGGTTTACTGCTACTCCTGCTGTCCTAAACAAAAACAAATTACCCCTAACAGCATATAAGTTTTCGCACGGGTAGCACTAAAAGGTAACATACATATAACTATTAATACTTAACACCTAGAAGCCACAAGCAGGTCAGACCTCAAATGTACCAGACATCATACAAACAAAAATTACATACTTCACAGAGCTTAAATTTAAAATGCCAGCTGCTGCTATGATGATACAATTAATATTCTACGGTCTCTCACTTAATCCTTTTGCATATCAAATACTATTAAAAGAGCATGGACAACAAAACCTGTAAATTAACGCTTTTCCACTTTGAGGGAAAATGGCTTTGATGCATAATACTAGCCACAGAACTTCAGAAACAAAAGTTTGGCTCAAATATTAAGTCCATGAACAAATGTGCACTAATTATCTAGGTGCACACATGCCACCTTGACCGCACACTGGGTTCCATGCACCTCAAGTCAGTTACACATAAAAATGTGCATTGTCTTTTTGAAAGATTAGGTAGTTATACACAAAGTATTAAGTATTGGGGGGGCGGCGGCAGGAATTCAGTTTGTTTGCTAGTTGCTAATCCAAGACAAGTTTACTTCTGTATACACTTCATCTCATTGATTGAGCAGATTCTACTAATGCACAAATAAAATGTCAGATTAAAAAAAAAACGAGTTCCTTTTCTAAGAATGAAGTTAAGAGTGTATGTGTGTATATTAGTAGCTCTGTGCTTTATATATAAACAAATTAATATTTTGGACTGTTCAAATTTTATACATTTTATAAGCTTAGCAAAATATTTAAAGGTATGACTTACCAGGACTGTGATGAGTCACAGATTCTCCATTTTGAAACACATCTCCAGCCACATTCATTCTACCAGGATTGAAAGGTCCTACACCAGTCTTGGTCTGTGAAGTTAAAGATGGGGTGTATGTTTGTATATTAACACCAAAATTACTTGACTGCAGTCCGTTAGACACATCTCCCAAGTTGGTATTCTGCAGTGATGTTACATGTGTAATCATTAAGTTCATGTCACGCCCTTCAGTATTTTCTAAATGACCATCATTCACAGAGCTCATACCTGTTTCTAATGTGGTAACATTAGCAATCTGAATTTCAGAGTCTGGTTCTGTGGTTATACCACTATTACCTATTCCTGCATTTACCTTACTTCTTGAAAAACTGGAAGCTGAGAATTCCATATCGCTGGATCTATTTTTACACTCTGGAAGTCTTCGTTCATTAAAACTGGAAGCATTCTTCTCTTGTCCTTGATCTGTTTCAATATCTTCTTCATCATCAATAATAATAGTCTCGCTTATACTTCCCTTTTGAGAACTTAAATCTTTTGAAGGAGGAAGCATTTTGGAATCATTTCCTTGAAGCTCGTCGCTTTTTGATGAAATAAATGCAATGTTTCTCTGATCTGATATCAGTGATGTAGAAGTCTGTGGAGGTTGTATAGGTTCAATAAAAACAACATCATCATCATCTTCTATAGATGAGTTTTGGAACTTATTAGTTCTAGAAACTAGAGTATTAGGCGGACCTCCAAAAGAATTTCCTATTTTTGCAAGACCAGTTGCCATGGCAGTAGTTCCTAGTAAACCAGAAGTATGTTCAGACAGTTCTAATCCTCCCAGAGAACTTCTGTCCATTCCAGATAAGCTGTTTTGTAAGTAAAAGAGAAACAAAAGTAATTTAAGTACAAGATTTAACTTCTTTAAATACCAAGTATTCCATAAAATTTAAAAAGTCAGCTTTTACTTATTTTCTCTTCTTAACTAGATCTTAATGTCAGCTCAAGATTTCTATCGGCCTTCTCTTTTAGAAGAACTTTTACTCGTTATGCTACCTAACACCACTCCCACATCATAACATGCTAGTAAGAATGGAGGTTCACTACCAGTTTCACAGAACTTTTGCCAACAGAACAGCTATGTGCTGTTAAGTTTAGCAAGATACATGTTGGAAACATCAATAGAATTTAGCACAATTGTCACCTTTTTGTTGCCATTTAATACTTAGGCTTAATTTCCTATCCCTATACCCCACACCTTTCTTGTATGCACGATAGGTCAAATAGCATTGCCTCTGCTCAACTGCAAGGCAAGGTCAAGAGAACAGATATTTAAAGTTGTCAGTTTTTATTCCTCTTAAAATGGCATGAAAACATCTCAACAGCAAATGCACAAATTACGTGCCTAGTAAAAGACTTGCTTTGCATGGACTAATGCTCACAAGGTGTAGGCTAACCAAGACTACTTCACAGTCTGAATTAGAAAGCATAAACCCCATCACAGGGTTCCAGCCCAGTTGAAGTGTGGTGGGGGAAGCAAACGAGGGTAAAAGCCTTGGAATAGCTGGACGCTAAAGGAAGAAAGGAAAACATTGACTCTGCCAACCTTCAACTCTGACCACTGCAAGGGAGCAATGAAAGGAGGCTCATTTTAGGTCCTGGCTCCTTCTCTAATATTCTTTAACAAGTTGTAAGAGATTCACTTCCTATCTCCTCAACATCAGATGCTGCTGCAGGTTCCTTCATCCACTACTCATCTTGCATGTGGCATTTTGTTTTCAGCTGGTCTTTTTGTAGTTTTGGGGAGGCTGCTGGGTTTAATCTTGTGGATACTGGCATGAGTACATTTAATACACCAAAAGAAACCTTAGCCCTGGATATTTGCTTTTATGTATTATATAAGACTAAATATATAATCAGGGCCAATGGAAAGGACATAATAGAAACAGAGTTCACAGCAGCTGTTGGTAAATGAAGTGCATTGGTGCTACTGCAGGCACTGGGAAGACTATCAAGATAACTGCATGATAATATACTCAAACACATACCTGAATTTGCACGTGTGATACCATCAACTCTTTGTATACTTTATGACAGAAGATTATTCAAGGCTGGAAAAATGTCTTTGTGGATTTCTGCAAGTAACCTTTAAAAAAAAAAAAAAAAAAAAGGGTGGGGTGGGGAGTATTCTTCCCCAATACTCACCCATCCAGAAATCCACTGCAGCCTGTTTACCTTAATAAGTTGATCCCAAGTGCTCCAGTGTAGGGTCTATTCCTCTTATATCAATTAACTTAATGCCCTTGGTTGAAATGTCCTGAAATAGAGATAAAAATAAACTCTCATGATCCTAACATACATAAGAGGAGGTTACTCACCCTGTGCAGTAACTGACGTTCTTCGAGATGAGTGTCCCTGTGGGTACTCCACTCCAGGTGTTGGTGCGTCCCTGCGCCTTTGCTCGGAGATTTTTTGCAGCAGTACTCGTAGCGGCCACGCATGCACAGAGGCTGCCCCCCGCTGTAAGTCTAGGTTAATAGTACGCATGCATGGCCGGTCTCCTCAGTTCCTTCTCTACAACGGAGGCCACCCCAACTCCGAAGTAGAGGGGAGGAGGGTGAGTAGTGGAGCACCCACAGGGACACTCATCTCAAAGAACGTTAGTTACTGCACAGGGTGAGTAACCTCCTCTTCGAGAGAGAGATGTCCCTGTGGGTGCTCCACTCCAGGTGACTTTAAAGCTGTGTGTCTTAAGGAGGTAGGGACTTCAGATCTGATAGGAACGCCGTAGATAGTACAGCCCTGCCCAAACGTATATCAGATAGAGGGCCTTGAGTAAGGGCATAGTGTTTAACAAATGTGTGCTCAGAGGACCAGGTGGCTGCTTTACAGATATCAGCCAGGGGAACTTTGCGTAAGAATGCTACAGAGGCAGCCAGAGATCTGCTACAGAGGCAGCCAGAGATCTTACGCAAAGTGGAGTGTGTTCTGATGCCGTCTGGAGGTGTAACTTTCTTCATCTGATAGCACAACCGGATGCACTGAGAAATCCAGTTTGAAAGTCTCTGGGTAGAAATAGGCGTACCTTTGGAGCGCTCTGCGATGGAGATAAAAAGTCTAGAAGAATTTCTAAAAGGTTTGGTTCTATCCAAATAGAAGGACATGGCCCTGCGTACATCTAGTGTATGCACTGAGGCTTCGAACGAGTTCACATGTGGTTTCGGAAAAAAGGTCGGTAGGTGTATCGGCTCATTAACGTGGAATGACGAGTGCACCTTTGGAAGAAATTTGGGGTGTAATCTGAGGGTAACCTTGTCTTTGAAAAATAGCGTATATGGTGGGTCTGCCATAAGAGCTGCTATTTCTCCTGCCCGTCTGGCAGAGGTAATTGCCACTAAAAATGCTGTTTTCATCAAAAGGTGTAAAAGGGAGCACGTAGCTAGGGGTTCAAATGGTTGTTGAGTTAGGCAAGATAGTACTAGATGAAGGTCCCATGGGGTGGTAGGTGGTTTAATGTCTGGGTATAGGGTTTGGAGTCCCTTGAGGAAAAGTTTGGTGATAGGATGAGCAAAGACAGAAGTGTCATCAATTTTCTCATGAAAAGTTGTAATAGCAGCTAAATGGACCCTGATGGAGCTGAAAGAAAGGCCGGAATGCTTAAGGTCCAATAGATAGTCAAATATGAGCGAAAGAGATACCGACGTGGGACAAAGTTGTTTAACTGAACACCAATGTGTGAATCGTTCCCACTTTCGTAGATAGGTGGTGCGAGTAGATTGTGTTCTGCTATGTAGGAGCACCCTTTGAACTTGTTCAGAGCAATCTAGTTCGCTTTGGGAGAACCATGTAGGAACCAGGCTTTGAGGTGAAGCATGGACAGGTTGGGGTGGAGAAAGCGGCCGTGATAGGAGGTTCGGGATGAGAGGCAAGGAGATTGGTGGTCGAATCGACATTCTGGTGAGAAACGGAAACCACGGTTGTCTGGGCCACGACGGGGCAATTAGGATCACCGTGGCCCGGTCTGTTCGTATTTTTATTAGGACCCTGTTGAGAACCGGTATCGGGGGAAACGCATAGAGTAAGTTTCGGTGCCATGGGATCATGAATGCGTCTCCCAGGGAATGTTTGCCCAGTCCTGCTCTGGAGCAAAAATTGGGGCATTTCTTGTTTTTTGTAGCTGCAAAAAGGTCTATGGTTGGGTAACCCCAAATGCTGAATACGTTGTGAATGGTTTTCTCATCTATCTCCCACTCGTGGTCCCATGGGAAGCGTCTGCTTAGTTCGTCCGCTGTGGTGTTCATTACTCCGGGGAGATAGGCAGCCGATACCCGGATGTTGTTCGCAATACACCAATTCCAGAGCTTCGTAGCCTCTGTGCACAGCGAATGGGATCGAGCTCCTCCCTGCCTGTTTACATCAAACATGCATGCAATGTTGTCTGTCATTATGCGTACGTGATGATTCTTGATTAGTGGCAGGAAGTGACGGCACGCATTGCGAATAGCTCAAAGTTCTAGGACATTTATGTGCAGGGAGGTCTCGGTTGAAGACCATAGCCCCTGGACTGTGTGGTGAGACATGTGTGCACCCCAGCCTGTCAGAGATGCATCGGTCGTCAGTATGAGGGATGGAGCCTGCTGAAGAAAGGGGACTCCAGAGCAGAGGTTGGAGTGAACTGTCCACCAGTGTAGAGAATCTTTGACTCGGACAGGTATGGAGAGAGTCTTGTTTAGAGACTGCACATTCGGTCTGTAAACCATGGCCAACCACGCTTGGAAGCACCTCATGTAGAGGCGTGCATTCTGGATGACAAAAATGCACGAGGCCATGTGACCTAGTATTTGTAGGCAGTCTCGGACAGTCACCTGGGGACTGTTGCGAATTTTTGTGGCCAGTTGGCTTATGGAGTGGAAGCGGTCGGGTGGGAGAGATGCCAATCCTGTCCGGGAGTCGAGGTATGCTCCTATGAACTCCAGATGCTGGGTGGGGCATAATGTGGATTTGTTTCTGTTTATTTGCAGGCCTAGAGATAGGAAACAATTGACGGTAAGCCGCGTGGATCGGAGAGCTTCGTCGAACGTTGAAGCTTTGAGGAGGCAATCGTCTAGGTAAGGAAATATTACGATCCCTTGTTTTCTGAGGTCGGCAGTAACTACGGCTAGGATCTTGGAAAAAACACGGGGGGCCGTGGACAGTCCGAAGGGGAGAACCCTGTATTGAAAATGGGTTGAGCCAAGACTAAAACGTAGGAATCGTCTGTGGGCCAGGTGTATAGTCACATGAAAATAGGCATCTTGTAGGTCAAGGGCAGAAAACCACTCGCCCTGCTCCAACGCTGGGATTATGGTGGTGAGGGTAACCATCTTGAACTTTTGCTTTCTGACAAATTTGTTGAGCCGCCTGAGGTCGAGGATTGGTCGCCATCCCCCATTTTTCTTTTCTGTTAAAAAATAATGGGAGTAAAAACCCTTCCCTTTGTGTCGTTCTGGCACAATTTCTACTGCTCCCAGATGAAGGAGATGTTGCACTTCTTGGAGGAGTAGCTGCTCGTGAGAGGGGTCCCTGAAGAGGGACGGGGAGGGTGGGTGGGTGGGAGGCAAGGAGAGGAAGGGGATGGCGTATCCAATTGTAACTACCTCTATGACCCACTTGTCGGAGGTAATGTTCTTCCATTGGTGGGAGAATGGTCATAGGCGGTGTCCAAAGATAGGTGTGTTGGCTGAAGTGGGAACGCTGTTTTCTAAACCCTCGACCAAGGCTTCAAATCTGCCTATTAGTTGGAGGGGGTTGAGGCGCCCCTGCAGAATTGGGACGACGACGCTGGAATCTTGGTCTTTAACGTTGTTGTTCCTGTGGTCTATGGGAGTGTTGTGTAAATACGGGATAGCGTGGATGTAGGTACGGTTGGTATCAATATTGTCGTCTTCTGGTCATACGTGTCTGGAGACCTAAAGACCGGAGGGTTGCCCTTGAGTCCTTCATTGAATGAAGCACGTCGTTTGTGGTAGAAGCAAAAAGTTTATCATCGTCAAAGGGAAGATCTTCAATGGTGCTCTGAACTTCTCGAGGAAAGAAAGAGGAGGAGAGCCATGAACCCCGTCGCATGACCACTGCTGTGGCGGTCAATCTTGCTGCAGTGTTGGCTACATCGAGGGCCACTTGAAGAGCGTTACGTGATATGATTTGTCCCTCGGAAACCAGAGCTGTGAATTGTTGTTTCTTCTGTTCTGGAATGTCGTCAATAAAATCCATGAATTTATTATAGTTTTTGTGACCATATTTTGCAAGGACTGCAGTATAATTAGCTATACGAAATTGTAGGGTCGAGGATGCGTATACTTTACGACCAAAGAGATCCAAGCGTTTACTGTCCTTGTTGGCTGGGGTGGAACGGGAATACTGTTGTTTGGCCCTTTGGTTCGCAGCGCCTACTACCAATGAGTTTGGCGCCAGGTGGGTAAAAAGGAATCCAGGGCCCTTTGAAGGGATAAAGTACTTCCTGTCCGCTTGTTCACAGGTAGGTAGGCTTGTAGCTGGAGTCTGCCAGATGGACTTAGCGGGTTCTAAAAGGGCTACGTTGATTGGTAATGCCACCCTAGAGGAAGAAGAGGGCTGTAGGATGTCCGTTAGCTCATACTGTTGTTCAGTGACTTCCTCCAAGGTAGTTCTCAAGTCACTGGCAACTCTTTTAAAGAGGTCTTGGAATTTTGCGTAGTCATCCGACGGTGTTGGAGGAAGGGGAAGTAAGGCTTCTCCAGGCGTTACCTCCGGCTCTGCTGGAATAGGAGCAGGGCTAGGTTGATCCTGGAAGTGTGACTGTGCTGCCAGGTGTCTTGTATCACTGGCAGATTCATCAGGTGGTGGCGCTAGACCAGTGTTGCGCCTGGTCGAATTGCCGTAGCGCACGTATTCTCGAGGGTACGATGCCCATCGTGTCCAATATTGCCATGGTGGTGGGTAGGGCATAGGTGGTGCCATCCAGGAGTTCACCCCGCAGGGGGCAGGATCCTGAGAATAGGATGAGGTCGTTTTCTTATAACTTCTATTGACTGGGGTCTGGGAGTGGGAGTCTTGATATGGAGAAAAAACTTCCTCACTGGAGGAAGACTGTTCAGATCCTGACTTAGGCATTGGAGAAAAACAGGCATTCATCAGGGAAGACTGCAGGATAGGTGATACCAATAGATCTGCTGTCTGAGTAAATTGAAATGGTGAGGCTCCTGCGTGAGGTGAAAGCTGTGCAGGGGGAGGTTGCCGTGCGGGAACATTCCTCTGAGCAGGGGTTTTGCTTGTGATCTCCCTGTCAGTCTGCTCCGC